AAGGACAAACAAAATTGCTTTGTGTGTGTTGTTTTCTTTCCTAATATTCCCTACTTTGAATAAAACCTTCCCCCACCTTTCCCTACTTCAAACCCACGAAAATACATTCCCTTTTGGCCTTAGAATCCATCTCCATTCATCCCAATCCATTACAAAACACAAAAGACCAAATCAGGAGACAAGGATTAAACATGTCTTTTGTCTTGGTGTGAAAATCATTCAAAACCATCCCCCCTCACTTTCCTTGTCCCATGGCCGAATTCCTCCCCCCATACATCCCCCAAATCACTTCTCAAACCTATAATAAGGCCAAAGGAATAAACAACCAATCCCTTGATGTGTCACATACCTTACTTTGCATAAATGGACAAAATGACACACTCCCTCACCCTACCCTTCACATGGCCGAATTTTCCCACCCAAAGACAGCCCATTTCACCACCATGAGCCCCTTTTAGCCTTGATCAATGAGGACAACCTATGGGATCCATCAAATAGACATTATGCACTTGAGTTGTAGGAAAGAGTGGTGAAGTTTCCTTGCTGTTTTCCCTATATATTTCGGCCCTATGGCCTTGTAAAACTCATTCATTGTATTCCATTTCTTTACTCTTTGAAGTAATATTTGAGTTGGTGTGAATCTAATTCTCTCAATTTCCTAATGAAATATCTCTAAAGTTGGCTACTTTTGAGTGTATTGTTATCAGTCTATTTCATATAATAATAGTGAATATTATTGTGTGAAAAGAAACAGCCCCAAATAAAATAAGAGTGTGTTTATCTCTTATTCATTATTTGGTTTATCCTTATACAACAAAACCACAAAAGAACTCCCTCTTTCTCTCCCAATTTCGTCCACCCCCTTTATCCCATTTAAACACTTCATTTCTTCATTAAAAAACCACTCCATAATATTGCTTTTCTCCTGCCCTTCATTCTGCCCTATCACCTCTTCCAAACAACCATACTTTCTTCACCATTTCTTCACCATATATTCCCCTCTATAATCTGCCCTTATTTATCCATAGTTTTTCCTAAGCTTGGGTACATCATTTGGTATCAAAGCTAGTTGTTGCTCATCTCTCCAGGACCATACACACTTCCCCAACTCCCTCCCTAAATTCGGCCTAACCACATTCAATCCCTACTCCCACTTCATCCCTTTTCCTATCAACCATGTCAAACCAATCCCGAAGCATGTCTCATGAAGAACTCATAGCCGCAAACGCTGCCTTGCAAGCTCAAGTGGAATACCTAGCCAAAGAAGTGGCTAAGCTCACAAAGCAAAAGATGTCCATGCTACGAGATAGTGAAGATGAAGAGGAAGCTAGATCTAGTGCCACCATGAGAGCTAGGGAAGTCCCATTCTGACTTCAAAGCTGATATTTCAATCTTTGAAGGAAAGAATGATCCGGATGAATTTCTTGAGTGGTTAGAAACGGTGGAACAAGTCTTTGATTTCAAGGAAATCTCCGATGAGAAGAAGGTCAAGATCGTGGCCTTAAAGTTTCGAAAGTATGCCTCTACTTGGTGGACGAATACCACCAGCAAACGAGTTCGAAGTGAGAAGCCCCCCATTGATTCGACGACGCCGTTGACGGTGATGAGATGGACGTCGACGACGACGAGGAGGAAACCGAAGACGAAGACTAGGACGCCCCTAGAATTTCTATCTCTTTTATTTTAATTATCATGTTTCTTAATGCTTCCGTTGTACTCCGCTATTTCCCATCTTCAATAAATAAAAGTTATCTTTTATCTTTTTGTTAATGTCAAAAGGGGGAAGAAAAGGGCTATGCATATACTAAGGGGGAACGCCTCTAAAAACGAGACCGTTTGATTTTAATTCGACTAATTTCTTTTAAGCACAAATTAAGGGGGAACTTTTTCACAACTTTTTGAAAATCAAATATCCCTTAATATGCATATCCCGGTCTTGTTTGCCATTATCAAAAAGGGGGAAATTGTTGGAACACGGGTTTACGCCTACGTCGTACTAAACTGTGTTCGTTTTTATGACAGGTTTTGATAATGCCAAACCGCCGTGACACAACAAGGCTAAAGTGAGCAAAACCAAGGCGAAGAAACACGGCATGATGACATGTGAACCAAGAACCAAGAATCAAGAACAAAGAATTAGAATTGCATCGAGTCGGTCTTAATGTGATCNGAACGCCTCTAAAAACGAGACCGTTTGATTTTAATCCGACTAATTTCTTTTAAGCACAAATTAAGGGGGAACTTTTTCACAACTTTTTGAAAATCAAATATCCCTTAATATGCATATCCCCGTCTTGTTTGCCATTATCAAAAAGGGGGAAATTGTTGGAACACGGGTTTACGCCTACGTCGTACTAAACTGTGTTCGTTTTTATGACAGGTTTTGATAATGCCAAACCGCCGTGACACAACAAGGCTAAAGTGAGCAAAACCAAGGCGAAGAAACACGGCATGATGACATGTGAACCAAGAACCAAGAATCAAGAACAAAGAATTAGAATTGCATCGAGTCGATCTTAATGTGATCAAGACCGGCACAAACTTCCAAATCTTGGCTCTCTAGGGTCAATTCATCAAAACCCTTTTTTCAAATTCAAAAATGTTTTTCATAAGTTTTTAAACCTGGCTAAAAACACTTGGAGTTCGCCCAAACCAAAAACCAAGTCATCAGGCGTTCGGCTTTTAGAAACCGGCGTTCGGCTTTCGGTTTTCGGCATTGGTTTTTGGGTATCCAAACCAACCAAGTGATTTTTAACTTTTTATGATTTGTTTTTACTTCTGGGCATATTTAAACAGTTTCCCAACAAAAACGCTTCAAAAACCACCTTCCGTTTATGGTCGTTTAGTGAAAACCATGCAAAACGACACAAACTTGGTTAGCCGTGGTTTTCAACTAAATGACGTGGTTTTTGAGTTGTTTTACTTGATTTCTTAGCAAAATGCAATAAACAAATGTTTTCAACACTTAGTTTTTATTTTGGAGAACTTACGTTTTTGACATCGGCTAACGGCATGACTAAACCAACCATGGGTCTGGCTAAACCAGCCCAACAGCGATGTTGGTGAAACCAACAACGCTGTCTGGCTTGAGTAGCTGAAAACCATAGTTTGGCGTTAAGTCTTCCAACAGCGATGTTGCACACTAGACATCGCTGTTGAGCCAAGGTTGGATTTCCAGAAACTTCTGGAATAGCGATGTAGGCTTCCCTACAGCGCTGTCCAACCTAAGCCAAAAATATAGTGCATTGGCAGAAAGTTTCAGGACAGCGATGTTGACCCAGCAACAGCGCTGTCAGGCCAAACTTCCATCTTCAATGTCAGACCTAAACAGCGATGTTCTAGTATTGAACATCGATGTAGGGACCTGACCGTTGGAAGGAATTTAAGGCTAAAACTTCCCTTGTTTGGAAGTCAACAGCCAAAACAGCGATGTAGGGGTATTGGACATCGTTGTTGGCATGACCGTTGCTTCCCAATTTTCAAAATCCAAGCCTAGAACAGCGATGTCCAAGCCTAGGACAGCGCTGTCTCAGTGAATTTCAGCAGATCCAAATTTAATCAAATCCCACAAATTGTGCAAATCACCCCTTAAATGTTTTGGTCCGTTGGAGCCTATTTTTCCACTATAAAATGGGGTGTTTGGGTCTGTTTTATACATCACATTTACTTCACAACTCCTACTCTTTCATTGCAAATCACTCATTCTTTATTCATAGCTTTTTGAGAGCCATTTTTGTGAAGCTTGTGTTGTGTTCTTGAGCGTTCTTAGTTACTCAATTATCCACTCTAAAAGAGAGTATTGTTCTTGAGTGTTTTTAGTGTTCTTAGACACTTGACAAGAGAAAGTATTTCTCTTGTTGTTCGAAGGAAGGATTGTTTCCTTCGAAGGTTCGTTGAGGTTCGTGTGACTCAAATTCTCAAGTTGTACAGGTTTGTTAAGCACCGTTAAGCTTAACGAGATAGTAGTGTAGCTCGAGAGAGTCTCTCGGGAGGCTGGATTAGCCACAAGTTGTGGTGAACCAGGGTAAAATCGGTGTGCCTCTTTATTTTCTCTTTACTTCTCGTTTATTCATTTTATTCCTGCGAATTCTTGATCAAACGCTATTCACCCCCCCTCTAGCGTTGGTCTATTATTCTAACATGATACACGTTGGGGCTCTCACTGCAAAACTCTTGTTCGTCTCTTTGATATGTGGAATGCTATTGGTACAGTGCTAAATTCATTACACGAGCATGGTGAAACACCCAAAATTAAAAACAGTGCTGGTGGCATTTTTGATAAAATGGATTCTTTTGAGTTCGTTTTTATTGGAAAGTTTATGTTGAAAGTTCTAGGTATGACTAACACCTTATCAAAGATATTACAAGCACGAGATCAAAATATTGGTTGTGCTTTGAATATGATTGGTGCAGTAAAAAAGAACTTACAAGATTTTAGAGATCATGGTTAGGATGCCTTTTTGAAGGAAGTTAGTGAGTTTTGTGAAGAACATGCAATTTATGTACCTAACATGGAAGATTATCTTTGTGGGTGATCAAGAAAGAAGATGAAAGGTGGTGAACCCATGACAAATTATGTGCATTTTCATGGAGAGATCTTTGCAAAGGTATATTACTCTTATTAAATTTAAATGTTGATATCATTTTTGCAAGTATTTTAATATCATAGTATATTAAATAAGTTATTATTATTATATTTATTCTTTATTTGATTTTAGGTCATTGATATTCTTGATGTGGAAATGGATAGACACTTTACAGAGACAAACACAAATTTACTGATGTGTAATGTGTCTTGATCCTTCTAATTGCTTTGCGAGTTTTGATCAAGATCGGCTATTGGAACTTGCTGTATTATATTCAGAAGATTTTAGTTCTAGTGATCGAGTTGAGCTTATTCATGAACTTCAAAATTACATTTCTGATATGAGATCGAATGAAGTTTTTGCTAACATCTCCAATCTTGGAAGTCTTGCAAAGAAGATGGTGGGGATGAATTATCACACATATTTTCCTTTGGTATATCGGCTTATAGAATTGGCATTGATATTACCTGTTGGGACATCTTCAGCGGAAAGGATTTTCTGCAATAAATGTTGTCAAGACTGATTTACGCAACCGTTTGGGAGATATGCTTTTATCAGATTGTCTGTTGTGCTACTTTGAGAAAGAAATTTTTAGAAGCATTGATGATGAAGTTATTATGCAGCGCTTTCAAAAGTTGGCATCTCGAAAAAAATTTCTACGGCCTCAAACAACTCTTACTCCTTTACACAAATAGAAGGTATGTTTACTTGCACTTTGCCAATTAAGATACTTACTACTCCCTCCATCCTAAAACTATCTTTCCGTTTGTGTTTACGAGGTTTGACCGACTTTATTTTCAATTCAACTTATTTGATTGTAGGTGTAAAATTAAAAAATAAAATTTATATATTTAAAAACTACATCAAAAGTTCTACGAAACAAAAGGTGACAAGACTATATTATTTTATCAAATAACTAACGAAAATAGGTAAAGAAAGTGATTTAAGTTTGACCGTGTGAATAGTAACTGAGAAGATAGTTTTAGGACGGATGGAGTATTATATTATTATGTATTTTGTTCATTTATTAAATGAATTTTCCCCCCCCCCCCCATGAAGTCTTCCCTGGCTCCGCCACTGCATGTATTTATTTTTGTTTAGTGGTACAAGTATGATAGAACTACACTGCAATATCATTGAAAGTGCATTCGTCACGGCATAAATTTGTGTATCCGGCGCATCGACCCTACCACAGTACACCCCACGCACCCACTTAGGGTTGTCGATACCTGCCTGGCATGGGAAAAGCAGTAAGGATAAGAAACGGTCCATACATTGCTTAGAAATTTGGGTTCCCAAATTTGACTCTTGTATCAACCTTATTTGTGTTTTGTCGTTTTCAATGGGAGTTAGTAGAAGGTAGTCATGTTGCTCATAAAACTATACTCCAAAAATACAATTCCTTGAAAAATTAAGCCACCTGCACCGGAAAGAGAAGTTGCAAGGAGGAGGAGTAGTCCAAGGAGAATTGATTTATCAGGACTCAGGAGTAGGGGTCGGAGGAGAAGTACTCCGCACAGAAAACGCTTAGAATGAGAAGTACTCGAGGAGAAGTGGATAATTTGGTGGAACTTGGCCAATTATTGAGTGCCAAGTGGTAGTACTTGTTTTTTTCTCATTTTTTGGTGCATTAATTTTTCTAGTTTAATGTTTGATTAAGTTTATTAATTTTGATGTAGAATTTGAAAATGAAAGTTATGCTGTTTTAATTCAATGTATTATTTTTACGAATAATTTGAAAATTAAAATTGCAGTGTTTCTTTATTATAATTACTCCATATAAACTTTGGTTTGAGTTTTAAATTTTATTTCACTTATTTTAAATTTAATTAAATTTTTAAAAATTAATTGAGATAAAGAACATAATTAAATAGTGCTAATATTTATTAGAAATTGTATTTGTTTAGTAGGGCTTTTGATGTGAGGGAAAAGAAGTTAATGGAGAAGTTAGATGATGGACCCAAAAGATATGATGTGGAGGAGAGAAATTGTTAGTAGTCCTCTTTTGATAGTCCTTCTAATGCATTTGCTCTTGGGAGGACCAAAATAGGAGTAAAAAAGATGTCAATTCCCTAAATAGGAGTTGAAACTTAAACCCCTCTAAATAGGAGTAATAAACTAAATTATCTCCACCCAAACTAATCACCACGTGCCACTCCACTGCAGATTTACAATAGCATACCCAAATTAAATAAATGCATTTTATAGAATTGATCAATCAACCTCCGTCTTCTTCGACTCATGATTCTCGCCGCCGCCGCCGCGACACACAGGAGGAAGTCGCCGCCATTCTGAAGCAAGTCCCAACCAGAGTTGTAATGTCTCTTCTCTTCTTCTCCTTGGATTCACAACCACCGTCACATCTAGTAGCCTCCGTGGAAGAGGCCGGCCACCGTCGCCCAGCAACCCGAGCTTAGGAAGAGCGACATTGTAGGTCGGAGGTGCCTAGTCGCCAGGGCACTAGTTCGAAAACCCCTATTTTTATTATCTGAACTGCTACCAACACCGCCCTGGCCATGGTCACTTGTGCTGCTGTCACAATTTGGGTAGCGCCACAACTGGCATCACACCCCATGTCCTTACCATTGTCACTATCGCCTGCCACAATGCAACAATAAAGACTTATATAGTGTCAAACAAGGGTACATATAATGTCAAATATGACAACACATAATGCGATACATGAACTTGAACAATGACACACATGTCCCTATGAAAAGTCACACATACAAATACATAATGTATACAAAGTCATAATGCCAAACATAACAATGCATAATACAAAAAATACCATTGTATACTGGCAAGTATGCCAATAAAATTGAAATAAAAAACTTAAAAAAAATCAAACAAGCCATGAACCATATGTGTGTAGTCTGGATTTTTTTCAAATACCCATCTCAATGGCCCATAAAAACATAGATCTATTTCAAAACATAGACTCATTCCCAATGAGTGTTCAAATTTCTAATTCATCTAAGAGCATGCTACTTCAATTCAGTAGTTATGAGTACTCATCATCACCATAATGCCTCATGAACCTCACCCCATTCAATATAATAAAAAATTAAAGAATAATCCATTGACAACTCAAAAATAGAGAGGGAGAAGCAGGTTGAGAAAGATCCATTGAGTTGAATATCACAAAATCTATTCATAGTAAGCTTAAGGTGGGGGGTGACACCAGTGGAGGCATATCAAGGGATAGTCGACGGAGTTGGCGACAAGGGCGGTGGTTCCCTCCGAGTTCTCGAAGAATGAGAGAAAGGGGGGAGGCAGCGAAGTGGTTGGAATGAATCGAGAAGATCAGAGGTCAAGATCTACAATGTGGGGACTACTCTTATTTATAGGAGTTTATGTTAGAACTCCTACTTTGAGGATATAAGACTTGTTTTAGTCCTATTTAGGAGGTTTACTTTTTGCTTTTATCTTTCACTTCAAAAATTGACATTTACTGTCTTTTTTTACTCAATCAAAACTTTCCATAAAAGTATATCCGCATGCACTCAAATTATTTCTTTGATATTTTTTTTTTATTTTAGTGGTGTGAATGTGGAGTACGTATTACATATTTACATATTGAGAGGTCTGAAAAATGTTAATGTACTCCTATTAAAAATTTCAATTAGCAAACACACGATATAATTTAAATTCGGTTCAGATCAAAATTTACATATATTTCCCCCGAGTACTTTTTATATTCCCTGAATGAGGGAGGGTTTACAAGGGTTAGGCTTTATGGGTGGTAGAATGTAGAAACCATAAATTTTTCGAAGGAAACATTATACCATTCATAAGTGCTCCGGGAATGCTATGAAATTGGACTCAAATGTCATATGAACCATGGTGAAATATCAATTGCCCAAATCATGGTTAGAGATGAAAAGGTATTTGATCTAAACATTACTCTTATGGTGTTCTACGAAACATGAATTTTGAATTCAAAGCTAGATTTGATCTAAATTATTTGTTTGGAAAATTTATGAAGTTGAATTTGGACTTATTAGACCAAATTTATCTAATTCAAAATTTACTCAATTACAACTTCACATCTATTCCCGTGTCATTTATAAAATCAAGTAACTTTTTTTCATTTAATTACTTGTAACTAAAGAGTGATATTTTCTGATGCAACAATAATTCATACTACCTCCGTCCATGAGTATTTGTCTAGTTTTAACTTTTTTTGTCCAATTGTTTTCAACTTTTGACCTATAATTAAATAAAATATATATTGTATATAAAATAGATAAAATAATATTTTGAAAAATATTTTATATAATAAATCTAATAAAACTATTTTTGTATCAATATCTAATATTATTTTAATTTAAATTGAGGTCAAAATTTATCAATTTTAATCGAAAAAAATCAAAATAAATAAATACTCAAGGATGGAGAGAATACATATCAACCTACTTCCATTGTCGTCTTTCCCAACTTCAGTATTCAAATTCTAAAATTGAGATTCTATAACTTTCAAAACAATGTTTAGAATTTGAAATTATGAGATTTCAAATATTAAAATTAAAATCTAATTTTTTAAATAAAACCTAGTCTCCAAACATTAACTTAGTTAATTCAAAATCAACATTTGAGAGAATCTATATTCATCACAGCCAAACGAGCTTTAATTCATTTTAATGTCATTATCGGAATTCCATCATAATCGTGGAAAAAGACAAATATATTGCGGTTCTTGGATGTAAGCCTTACTTAGAGCGGTTGAGGTTGAATAGCAAATCGGCGTTATCGCGTTGTTGTGTCCATTTTGAATTCTGCTCATAATAAATGCAATCTGTCTAAGGCTACCCTACAATTGTTGATATCTACTTCCTCCCTCCCTAAATTGATTATAATTTTTTTCTCTCTGTTCTCGATAATTTTTGTTTGTTTACACGATTTCATTAAGTATTTGATAAAATAAAATATTCTTGTCATCTCTTGTTTTGTAGAAATTTTGACGTAATTTTTTAATATGTAATTTTTATATCTTATTGATATACCAATTTGTAAATAAAATGATTTCAAAAAGTAGGAAATTTTACTCCGTAACCCGCAATTTGTAATCAAATTGGAGACAGAGGAAGTATATCTCATGAAAAGTTTTTTTTTCTTTTTTTAAAACCAATAAAGATTATACTCTTTCCGTCCCACAAAACTCTTCTCATTTTCTTTTTCATCCGTCCTACAAAACCCTTTTTTTCTATTTAAAAGTCATTTTTACCCCTATTAATTTTTAACCTACCTATCACATCATACTTTTTGTCTATTATTCTTTCCATCACATCCTACTTTATCCATCACATGAATGAGCATTTTTGAAAAGTCAACATCGTTAAATAATAGTCCCAACGCTAGAGGGGGTAAATAGCTGATGGTGTAAATTACTTGACCGGTCAAACTATACTAGACCGGGTCTAGAATAGCTTGCTTGATTTGGCAAAGTAAGAGAGGTAAAAACTCGTAGATTGACCGGTAGGATTTTAGGTGGAACACCTGTAACTCAATTATAACGGAGAATGCACGGGTGCTTTTACAAGGGAGTTTAGAGAGAATGAATTCGGATCCCCTTTCTGAGGTTTACAAGGGGTATATATACTAAGCTGGGGGGACAGGTCCACGTGCGCCCACGTGGGGGCACGTTGCTGATGTGGTGCGAGATGACTGTCCCTGAGCCGCCTTGTCATCTTGCGAAGGGGATTTCCCTCCTTGTCACGTTCTGGCTTGGAAATATTCCTCCAGGATCTCTGCAATTCCAACCACTAAAGTCCAAGTCCTTTTGGACTCCTCTTGCCGACACTCCCCGATCTCTAAAAGTTGTACCGGTTGATTTCTGAAGGTTTGGATTAATTGTCTTCGGAATCGGTTCCTGCTGATGGAATAATCTGACCGGTATACTATCCGAAGTGTACCGGTCCACTTTTTGGTCACTCGGTGGTCCATTCAGATCTCTCTTCAAAGTTTGACTTCTTTGACCGGTCAACTATCCGGTCCTGACCTTTGACCGGTCGTGGGTGAAATACACCCATCAATAAGCCCTCCACTTCTCGGTTATGCAATTTTGTCATAAGCGGGAAGTAAAAATTTAAAACTGGACCTTTAAATTCGAATTTTTGGCTTTTCCCGCTCGAAATTTTTGAATTTCAAAATTCAAAGTGCCAGTTATGACACGTGTGGCCCGCTGGACAACGCCAGACCTGCGCCCTTTCGTCTTCCCATGCGCAATGATGGCGCCGCCTGACGCGGCGCGCTCTGGTGAAGCCACGTCGCCTCCCTCTCCTTCCTCCTCGCCTATATAAAGGCTTCCATCCCCACTGCCTTCCTCATTTCTTCCTCGCGCGTCTCTCGAGTTTCACCGGTCAACTTCTCTCTCCTGCCCTCCAGCCCTCCGAGCCAAGTAAGCTCCCTTCTCTTCTCAGTTTTCATTCCCGGTCAATGCCTTCTTCTGATAGTCAAGGTATTTCTTCCTCGGATGCCTGCGCATCCGAGGAATCTTTAACCTCCTCTTCTTCGACCGGGTCCTCTTTATCTAGTTTCGAGACCCGGTCAGGCCCCAACACCACCAACCCTGAACCGCAACCTGTTAACCAGACGCCTGGTCAAGTCTCTCAGGAGAGGGATGAACCGGTTGACGATGAGCCGGCTCCCTATGACCCTGACAGCGAGTCGTATGAGGGATGGGTGAACCGGCTGGAAGCGGCCGGTTACTTTCCCCTGCCCACCAGTTACCCTTCAGACATCTACCCCCATGTTTCCAAAATCGCCCAAAATAAGGCACGTAGGAACCTCCCGGAGCGGTATGTCCTTGAATACGACCCTAATTGGCGCAATATCATCGAGCCTCACCGGGACGATAGGGTAGGGTTCCATATCATCTCCCTGGAGAGTGGCACCGTCTTCCCCCTTCGCCCCCTTCTGGTCGAGTTGTGCCACTGTTTCAAGATCCTCCCCGGGCAACTTACACCCAATGCCCACTGTTTTCTTAATGCTTTTGTAAATATCTGCTCCCATCTCAAAATCGATCCTTCCCTTTGCTTTTTCCTTTATTTGTTTGAAGTCCTTCCCGGTAAGTCGGGTTGCGATGGCTATGTCTACTTCAAAGGCCGTAACGGTCGCCAATTCATCTCGGACCTTCCACAAAGCAACCGGCTGTGGAAGGAAAAATTTGTCTTTATAAAATTCCCCACCGTTTCTCCTTTGGCCGGCATAAAGTGGAGCGACCACCTCCTGAAACCGCAATACACTGAGCCGGCTAACGCTCCAGACTTGGAAGAAAGTTTGGAGAAACTCTTACAAGGGGACCCGTTCACCGGGAAAATGTTCCACTACGGGGCTTGGATTTGGAGGATTTCACCGGGTGGCATGGGTACCCCCCGGGCTGATGAAGCAGCGGGGCACGGGGTACCTGCCCCGGGCAACACTGCGGAAGCTGGGGGTTCCAGTCACCCAGGTATCCTCCCTTCCTCTTCTTCCTTCTTCCTTTCTATATACCGGTCTATGCTTGATTAATATTTTCGCTTGTTTTGCAGAGATGAACTTCAGAGCATTCAACATCCCCACGAAGAAGACCGGCGGCTCCTCCTCTGCTGCCCCCAAGACTGTACCGGTGCAACAGGAACCGGTGGAGATCAATTCCGAGGAGGAAACTCCTCCGACCGGGAGGACCAGTCAGGCCGGGAGGACCACGGTAAACCCTCCCCTGGACAAGGGGAAGGGGAAGGTCCGGACGAAGCACGCCGCCACCACTCATCCCTCAGCCAAGAGGAGGAGGGGAGAAAATGTCCCGACTTCAGAGTCGCTAGAGGAGCTCTGGGTAAAGATGGGGCAGAAATTGAAGGAGGTAAAACTTCTGACCGGTATATTTTCTTGAATTTGTTGCCTTTCTGTCGCACTAACCGGTGCGTTTTGTTTTGCAGATGGGCGAGGTTGGGCCCGAGACCTTGGAGAGGCTTGTCGAGGACTCCCCTCCCCGGTCATTCCAGCTGGAGGAGAAGCTGAAAGGAGTCGAGGCCCACAACCGGACAATTGTACGTCCTGCATTTCTGGACGTACCTTTCACAATCCTGTACAATTGTTGGCCAGTAATATCCCAACAAGATGATGCGTTGGGAAAGCGTACGGGACATTTGATGCGCCGCGCATACGCCCTCGTGGACCTCCGCGATGACTCGCTCAGCCTCCCGGTTGGTTAGACATCTCAGGAGTGGCCCCCCAAATGCCCTCTTGTACAGCTTTCCATCAAGAATTTGGAATCGGGGTGCCCTGAGCTTCACTTTTCTTGCCCGGTCATATTGTTCCGGCAAGCTCCCATTCGTCAAATATTCCATCAGATCATACATCCAATGGTCGTCCGCCCCGACCATGTTTGACCGGTCAAATTGGCTTCCGGCCGTTATAGCGGCGACTTCCAATTTTTCAATACTTGCACGGTCTAGGATCTCTACCCGGGAAAGTTTTGAAACATGCTCGGGAGCATATTGCGTCAACTTGGAGAGAAGGTCTGCATCCGCGTTTTCCGCCCGGGGAATTTGGACGATCTTGAACTCCTCAAAGCCTTTCAACAGGGCAAGCACAAGGTCCTTGTATTGTGCCATGCGTCCTTCCCTTGCTTCCATGTTACCGGTCACGTGCCCAACTATCAGGCTAGAGTCAGATTTGATATTGACCCGGCTGATTTTCAGGGCTTGGGCCAGTCTGAGCCCTCCAGCCAAAGCTTCATACTCTGCCTCATTGTTTGTCAGCTTGAAGTTGAAGACGATTGCATGATAGATCTTGAACCCTTCCGGGGTGGTGAACACGATACCACCCCCGTATCCTCTAGGACCGGATGCCCCATCAACTGCCATCTCCCACCATTGCTCAGTGGGCTTGTTGACCGGTAGGTCTGGAGTTAGACCGGTCATTTATACTAGGAAGTCAGTTAGGGCATGTCCCTTGATTGCTGACCTTGGCCGGTACTCAATATTGAATTGAGTTAACATCATTGCCCACTTCACCATCCTCCCAGAGGATGTTGAATTTCGCAACACTGCACCCAGCGGTTGGTCAGTTAAGACTTCTACCGGGTGAGCTTGGAAGTAGGATGTTAACTTTTTTGCGGAGATGAAAAGCGCGTAGGCTGTCTTTTCCATCGCCGTATATCTACTCTCGGCCCCGTTTAGTGCTTTGCTCACATAATAAATGGGCTTTTGCGCCCCATCATCTCTTATTAAAACGGAGCTTACAGCATTTGGGGAAATCCCCAGGTACAGATACAGAGTTTCACCCGGTTCGGGTTTAGACAATACAATATCCGACGCTAGGTACTCTTTCAGCTCCTCGAATGCCCTCCGGCATTCTTCGTCCCATGCAAATGCGTTGGCCTTCTTCAGAACTTTGAAGAAGGGCAGGGATCTCTCAGCTGACCGGGAAAGGAATCGGCTGAGGGCCGCTAAACGACCGGTCAACTTCTGAACATCCCTAACGGAGGTAGGGGCTTGCATTTCAGTGATAGCCCGGATTTTCTCTGGGTTGGGCTCTATTCCTCTCTTGGTCACCATGAATCCCAAGAACTTCCCGGTACGAACCGCGAAGACGCATTTCTTAGGATTCAGCCGGAGGTTGTACTTTGCCATGATATCAAACGTGGCTCGCATATCAGCCGGGTGGTTCAGAGATACCTGGCTTTTGATCAGCATGTCGTCGACGTATGCCTCCATGGTCTTTCCCAGTAGTGGCTTGAAGAGCTTGTTCACCATGCGCTGGTAAGTTGCCCCCGAGTTCTTCAAGCCGAACGCCATTACCCGATAGCAGTAGGTTCCTTCGGGTGTGAGGAATGACGTCTTCTCTTCATCTTCCTTGGCCATGTAGATTTGGTGGTAACCCTTGAAGGCGTCCATGAAACTTAGGAGTTCGCACCCCGCAGTTTCGTGCACCATTTGATCTGGACTGGGGAGGGGGTATGAATCCATCGGACAAGCCTTGTTCAAGTCCGTATAATCCACACACATTCTCCACATGTCGCCCTTGGGAGCAAGGACAACGTTGGCCAGCCAATCCGGGTACTTGACTTCCCGGATGTGACCAACACCGAGAAGGTCTTTCACTTCCTTCTTGACGAAGTCTCGCCGGTCACTGGCCAGGTACCGCTTCTTTTGGCGTACCGGTCGACTTCCCTCCCTCACGGCCAACCGGTGGCAGATAACAGAGTGATCTATCCCGGGCATATCCGCCACGCTCAATGCGAATATGCCCGCGTATTCTTGGAGAACCCGTGTAATCTGCTCCTTGAGATCCTCGGGGAGATTTGCTCCAATTCTGACCATCCTCGAAGAATCACCCGGGTGAAGTTCGATTTCCACCGTCTCCGCCTCGAGCTCCAGTTTCTCCCGGGTCTCTCCCTTTGTGATCTCTTGGGAGATGACATTAACCCCCCTGGTCATTCTCTTGACTGCCCGGGCATAGCACTCCCGGGCGTTCCTCTGGTCGCCCTTCACCTCACCCACACCACCTGGAGTGTGGAACTTCATGCATAGATGAGACATGGAAATCACCGCCCCGACTTTATTGATGCCTGGCCTTCCAAGAATTGCGTTGTGGACGCATTTGATGTCCACAACTATGAACCGCATCTTCTTCCACACGGTCTTTTCACCTGATCCTAGTTCGACCGGTAGAACTATGGATCCTTCAGCTTCAACGGTGTCCCCCGTGAAGCCTGAGAGAGGGGTTTTGAGGGGTTCAAGTTGTGTTCGACACAACCTGAGT